GTTTTATTGTTTATCCATCATCTTCTAACACAGCACAGAGCATGGTATTTCTTTTTCTGGAGTGCTCTGGGATAACTTTCTTGGTCACAGGAAAAGAGAAATCCTGTTGTAGTATATGAACCAAGTACAGTCTCTAACTGAATCTAAGCATTTTGGGAGCAGTTTATTACCTGCTTAAATGTGGGAGGGAAACGTCATCTCCTACCCTAAACATTGTATAAAAAAATACACTTTGTTTGCAAAAGTGTAATTTCTTGTATTTATGATTGTTTACCATCATCAGAATATAGCAGTTCTGATTTTGACAGACTACCTCCCGATCCAATATGACACTTCCTATGTTTCTGTGTTTTAACTAATATATATATTGTTTTAATGCTTTTCTAATTACGTTTTGAAAGCACTTCATAAAGTATCACATGCAAGACAATAAATACAGATTATGAAGGAATCAATGTAATAATTATCGCTTGCGGGAAAATATGAACATGACCTTTTGAGGGGGAAAAAAAAAAAAAAGACAATGTAGTCTATGGAGCATAAATCTTGCAAGGCCTGTATCACGCCAAGTGAATTTGAAAAGGGTTGGTGATATTAAATAACCTGTCTTAACTGTGGTTTGAGAGAACTGCAGTGGACCAGGGAGCCTCAGATTATTGAGGAGGATAGAACTGGCACATATAAAAAAGAGTAGGAACATTTATCTGAAAACAAAACAAAGCAGAAAGCCAAAGCAACCTAATGATTGTAGCAAAGATGAGAAATAACAAGGAGGTGTTAATCTGGAGGCCAACACTCAGGTACATACCTAAATCTCACTTCTACAACCCTTTTTTCCCCCTTTGCCAATATGGTGCCAATAAGATACTTGCTTATACTTGGAAAACCCCTGATTTTACATCTTGTGTGAAAAGTTACTTTAACATTCGAAAACTTATTTTACTGTGATCAGTGGGATATGTACGCAGTCTAAAGCGAAATAATAGCACAGTCCTTAATGAAGACAAAATTTGCTATTAACCCTGCACTATAGCATTTTTATTCATTTTAAATCACAAATTAGATTATAAATCTCTGAGTAATGACTGTCCCTTTAAAGTTGTTCCATAGAGGCCTAATATTTTAAAATTATAAATATAAGGGGGGTGGGGATATGTTCTGTATATGTATGTAGAGCTAGGCTAAAACCTCAAATCTGTATTTTGATCCTGTAGGCAATGTAGGATTTGGCTGCCCAAAAGTAAAACAAAATCTAGAACAGATTTTTACATGCTTCTGCTGTTCATTACTTGACTTTAACCAGATTTTTTTCTTCCTAGACCATTTGTAAAAAGTAGTTGCAGTTCTCTGTTCCCTGCGTACAGTTTTCAGAAGTTTGTGCCTACTGCTTTTTTTCCAATGTAATAGGATGGATGTGGATAAAATTCATTGCATGTTTTAAGATGTCCTGGTTCCTATTCCATCCCCATTTGGGATGGTTCTTTGCTATAAAACAGTACACATTATAACTTTAAAAAATGAGATTATAGCGTTTGATAAGAAAGCAAGACAGACATACATTTGCCTTCATACAGGAACTGCACAAAAAATAATGTTGAGAGAACATTGTAGAGACTGGAAAGTTTAAGTATTCACAAATAGAAAATGCTAAGATTAGACAGGTGAATACAACTTTAATTCAGACTTTTCAGGTCAACATATTTCAAGACAGTCTTTACTTTCAGAAATTCATGCCAAAAAAGATTTTGCTTTACAGTTTGGCCTGTGTAGGCTTCGTACTTTATCTTAGCATGTTGCCTGAGGTTGGGTTGAGGCAATTCTCGCCATTCTGAAGCAGCTTGAAAACTGTGGTGCTCTGGAGTACCTGTGCATCTGTGCTGGAGATCCAGATCTGCTCGGAAATAGGCACCCATCCTAGTAGGGATAGTTTGCGATCAGCAGTACTTCTACTTAAGAACTTGGTAAGGTTGTTTTTGTAAACTAGATCAGGCTTCTGTTACCTGGCCTCAAGTGCAAAATTCCTGAGTTGGGTTGTTATTTTGGGAAGCCTTATATTAAGAGAAGGTGAATTGGCCGCATTCCTCTAGGAAAGCCATGGAGTGGTTTTGCCTCTGCCTTTGCTTCACTACCATGTTTGCAGCCAGAGAAATGTGGAAGCACTAACTGATTGACGCTTTTCCCCTCCGTGGTACATCAAAAGCAGGGTTAACGATAACTTGTTTGGCATTTTTGCTTCGTTACTCACTGAACAGTTGCTTTCCTTTAACAACAGGCTTTTTCCATGTATCTTGTCGCAAGCAATTCTGAAGGACCAGCTCCATGTAATTCATCTAGGTGTAAATATCTCCAATCTCCTCTTGTATCAGTGCTAGGGAACACTCTTCACTCATAAGCAGTGTACAAAAGGGGAGAGAGATAGCATCTGGAAATAAAATTTTTCCAAAGTATTTCCACATTCCTCCTATACAATCACATGCTGGGTTTTCTGAAAGATACCTACTTCATACTCAACTGAGCTATTTGTGGAATTTAATGGAGAAGGCTGTTGTTAGTAGACCACTTAATTTGTTTTTAAAATTGAGAGATTGTAGTGGGAGTATCAGGAGACTACATTAGTGTTAGACGGCAATTTTGGCATAGCAGCATATTTACTGAAAGTGGGGGTTTAAAGAAGTTAAGACCATTTCAAATTTGAGTTGCTTTGGCATACGCTTTTAGCCTCAAAAATGGGGAAAAATTTCAGAGAATGCCAAGTATTTTTGTTTCAAGAAAATGTGATAACAGAAGTCTAAAAAGGTTAGGTAACATCAAAACAAATCATTTCAGATTTGGTGATTTTGGGAGGGAGTAGAACTTTGAACCTTTTTTTGTTTGTTTTAGTTTGACCTGAAATGATCTTCCCGCTCCCCCACCCCGCCCTGATTTTTTATTTTCCATTTCAGTCATCAAACTGAAAATTCTATTATTCATTGTTGTGGTTTAACCCAGACAGCTACTAAGCACCACAGAGCCACTCGCTCCCCCTCCCCCCCCCCCACCCCGTGAGATGGGGGAGAGAATCGAAAGAGAAAAAGCAAGAAAACTCACAGTTGAGATAAAGACAGTTTAATAGGTAAAGCAAAAGCCACGGGTATAAGCAAAGCAAAGCGAGGAATTCATTCACTGCTTTCCACCAGCAGGCAGGTGTTCAGCCAGCTCCAGGAAAGCAGGGCTCCATCAGACATAATGATTCATTACGGCTAATTGGGAAGACAAATGCCATAACT